GGGGGGGGGGTCGGCGAACCCGGAACCGGGATCATATATACACGTACAACACACGTAGACGCCCACATGTATTTGCATCTTTTCTGTTGCATTCTGTGGGCATTGAGAGGCAAGGCAAAGCACCCCTCTCCATCGCGGCCACGAATGCCTGCACCCAACGTGAGCCGAGATGCCAATCATCCCGAACTGCAGTTCGCAGTGGGTCCTGCGAGATCAGGGACCGCAGGTTGGCTGCAGTCGGTGTGGCCTTTCGAACCAGCTCACGGCAGCGTCGGTCCAGGAAATGCTGGGCAATGAAGAGGTGGTAGGGTGAAGCCCAAAGCTCTTCGGGCTGTGGGTAAGCAAGGGGCATCGGATGAAAGGGCGACAAAGCTTCGAAAGGCCCGCCTGGTCCTCCGACTAAGACATAGTCCCCTCTGGGGCTGGACCCTCCTCTGGGTACGTCGAAGAGCTCTGCTTGGCACAATGGGCAGAGGCCCCAAAGGCTGAACTCCAGCTCCGAGCTCACGGAGCCGAAATCGGAATCGCCCACTTCCGAACGACACTTCGAGCACTTCCCAAGAAAGCATGGGGCCAGTTGAAGAAGCTCCAGCTTCTTATCCTGCTCCTCGGCAAGCTTCCTGATGCTTGCGCTGTCTAAGTCTTGTAGCAACTTCTTGATATCGTCGTCCTCTGCGCAAGGAATGTCCGAGTCCCTGCTCTTGCTCTTGAGTGTCTCCTCTGAGAGCTCTCGGAGCTGTCGCCTCCTCTGCACCAAAGGTGAGATGCCTGTCCCAAGAGCCGGCGTTTCCTCAGCCCGGTTCCCCGAGTGCTTTCGTTTCTGTAGCCAAGCCTCGAGGCGCACACAGGACTTTTCCATGGACCTGGAAAGCTCCAGCACTTCCTTTGTCGGGGAGATTGTTGAAGCTGCGTCTGAGCCTGCATCTGAGCCCAGATTTGACCCGGCATCTGATCCGGGCATAGGTGAAATGGGAGGCGTGCTGGCATCCACCACCATGTGCAGCAAGGTCTCCCCCAGAGCGATGGAAGCCCTCTGCGCAGCCCGATCACCCAAAGCAGCTGCCTCCTCTAAGCCGAGGCTAGCGCGGTGCAGCAAACGCCCAATTTCTGCGTTCGCCTCCCCGACCACTGCGAAGCCAGCAGCCACCAAAGACCGACGAACGCTTTCCAAGGCGGTTGGCGCCGCGTTGGCGACTGCGGTGACTGACTTTTGCTTCGCAAGTCGACGTCCCTGCCGGCCTCGGTAGCAAGCTTGGATCCTCACAGCTGCATCCCGCTCCGTCACCGAGCTCAAGCTCGGGGGAGTGGCGCCGGCTGTGTCGGCAAACATGCCAAAAAAGCTGCCGTCACTGCCGTCGCCGTCGTCTGCTTTCTTGCTTGTCGATAATCGGCCGTGAAGATTGTAAACTTTCACCCGCAGCGCACCGATCGAGGCTATGTCCATCCTTCTCTCGCTTCTCTCCTTGGCGAGCTCCCTGCGTGCCAGCCGGCCTCGCTGTGAGGCCTGGATTCGCGAGGCTGCTCGATGCCGAGAGGCCACATCTGCCTCGGCATCTTCCTGAGCTGACAGCACCTGCGGCTCTGTCCCGGGCTCTCTTTCCTTAGTCGGCGAGTCGAAGAAACCTTTGGGACTTGCAGAGCGGCTGCGGGAGCTACCAGCTGTTTCGCGCCCTTCGTGCAGCTTGTGGATACGGACTGCCCTCATGCGAAGGCTGGCAATCGAGGAGACACGCAGCTTGGCCTTCTCGTTTCGCAACTTCTGGGCGAGTCGCATTCTGATCCCTGCTTGGATCTTGATGACTGAAGCTTGCACCCTCTTTTGCTGCAGCTGCAGCGAGAGAAGGATTCTTCGTGCCAGCCAAGTGCGGCATGCACCTCGAATCTCATTCGTGGCCGCAGGTGCGTTGGCGGAAGAAAGGCCTGAGCTTGGTGCTTCTGCTGCTGGTAGGAAGGACTGGGCTTGGTCGCGAGTTGGCGAAGCCGAGGCCGAGGAGCTGTCATGTGGATGTAGCTTGTGGACTTTCACACGGAGGCGTGCGGTTGCCGCGATTCGCATAGCTCTCGCGTCTCTCACGACCTTCAAGGCTCGCCTCTCGCGCCGTCCTCGGAATGCTGCCTGGATGCGGACCACTGCGTGCAACTGCTCCACGCTTCTGAGCTTCGCGAGTTCTGGCTTCGGCAGCAGCCGCTCTCGTCGCCGACGGTACATGGCTTGGATGCGACTCGCTGCCATGGAAATCTCGAGCTTTGGGTTCTTCGACGCTGAGAGAGTGGGCGGAGCAGCTGCTTTCGCAAAGTCACGCTCTTTGACTCGCTTCTTTGGCGAGGCCTTCCGCGCATGGAGCCGCGTGTAAGCAAGGCTTAAGGACTCCACCGTGAGCGCCGGAGTCTTTCCCAAGCGCGCCGGGAGCTCCGACTCCGAAACCTGAGGGCTCCAAGGCGACCCGCAGGGCGTAGAGAGAGAAGAGAGATCATAGAGCGAGGGAGGGGGGAAGACTCGGAGTGCTCTGTCTGTTACTATTATGCTCCTTTCGTTCTCACTCCTCATATATAGCCGCTATCAAGAGTGTTGCAAACGAATTGCAGGCTCTGCCGCCTGCTCGACTTCACCAGGCGAAGAGGCCGGCCGCTGGCCGTCCGACCTGCGTGCAAATCCAGAGCCTCTTGAATCATTGGAGTAGGCCTACGGGACCACTAGGCTTTATAGGGGCTTCTGACAGAGGCACCCGATCGTCGACTCGCCTCAGCCGCGTGGCGCCCTGCTGCGCCGGGGGAGCCTGATGTGCATCGCGAGCCTCGTGCTGATCGCTCCGGGGCTCCAAGGGAGTCTCTGCCGCGCGAGGCGAGGGAAGGGCAGGCTTCTCCGTCTCCCCTCCCACCAGGGAGCTCGAGGCTGGTCTGGTTGGAGGATCAACCTCGCCCTTCTGGCCTAGCCTTGCTCCATCTGTCTGCTGTTCATCTCGTGGTGTGCTTGCGCTGTTCACCGTGAAATCCTGGACGGCTTGCTTGTCAAAGGGTGGCGAAGGTGGCGCTGTGCCTGCAGCCGTTGTTTCTGCAGCTGCATGACTCGGAACATCCTGCTGTTCATCTCGTGGTGTGCTTGCGCTGTTCACTGTGAATTCCTGGACGGCTTGCTTGTCAGTGCGTGATGAAGGTGGCGCTGTGCCTGCAGCCGTTGTTTCTGCAGCTGCATGACTCGGAACATCCTGCTGTTCATCTCGTGCTGTGCTTGCGCTGTTCAC